GGAAAAATTCACCTTCTCCCTCTTCCTCTTCTGGTTATTTCTGATCTTTTAGCTTTACTTATGTTTATGATTATTTCATTTTCTAAAATAAGAAGATACTAGATCCCATAACAAGACTGCTGCAACTTATTGACAGCAAAGCAGGTAGAGGCCTTGGGAGACCCCGGGTACTGCAGAACCTCCACCACTGGCCCACAGTGGGGCAGGGGGAGGGAGTAATTCATGCCTACTAGGAAGATTGCGATAACAGGTGTGTGTTTTTGGAGGCAGAATTGCTTTCTGCCCACATGACAGCTGCCCCCTTAGCTAAGAGGGGAAGCCTGGAGACCCAGAGTCCTCCGGGGACCCAGCCAGGCTTCTGGTCTAGCTCTCAACCTGCCCCACTCCTGCCCAGTGCTACCCTGTCTCCCACACCATCCCCATCCCCACCTCCACCAGTTCAGAGATGCAGCCAGACAGAGAGGCTGTGCCAAAGGAAATTGAGTGCCACAGGGCCCTCTTGGTCTGCTGTGGTGTTCTTCCTTTTTTTGGACTTTGTGGCTGTTTGAGTGGGTACCTTTTTCCATAGAAAGTTTCCATTGCATCAGTTATTTACATTGTCACCACCTATACGTGGGCTCTGGTTTCGAGTCGGTGAACCAGAGCAGGCCCTGTGGGGCCCAACACTGCTTACAGGGGGTGAGGGGAGCCAGTGGCTATGGCGAGAGGACCTGCAGCCCTGGGTCAACCCTCAGAGCCACTCCCAACCCTGGCAGGGCCACTCTTAGCATACTCAGTCCCTTTGGGATGCCATTTTTAGGGTGAGATTTAAGAGGATTTAAGATCACAGGCTACTAGGTTTGAATCCTGCCTCCTCCACCTCCTAGCTATGCTCTGAGTTATTGACCTGACATCTCCAGGCCTCCGTGAACTATCATTTGTAAAGTGGGAATGACAGTAGCACCTACCTGGCTGGACTGTGGGAAGGACTCAATCAGGTAATGCACATAAAGTACTTAGAACAGGGCCTGGCCCAAAGCCTCAATCCATGTCAATGAATGGACAAGGATTTCCCACCCCCAACCTGGCTCAGACCCCACGGCCCATCCTCTCTTGTGTGAACCAACACGCAACAGCATCTGCACTGTCCTGTCCAGCTCACCTATCCATAGAACCAGACAGGCTGTCCTGATAGCCAGCTCTCACCAAGTCATTCCCTGCCCCAAATCCCAAATCCTTCAGTGGTTCCCCTTAGAGAGTAAAGTCCACACTTTACAAATATGCCAGGCTGCCTTGGCATCCACACTCCCCTGCAAAGCCCTGTTCTTGCCAACTGCCATGCTCCACATTCATGCCTCTTTGTGGTTGTCTCTGGCTGGAATACTTCTCTCCATTTTAATGTGGCCAAATCCAATCCACACCAGCCTGGGTAAGCCCACTTCGTAGGCCACCTCCTCCACAAAGCCCTCCATGATCCGACTCTTTCTCTGCCCAGGAATGATATTTCATTTAAGGATTTGATCTCTTTGTCGTGGTGTTTACCTTCTCTACCCTGTATGGGTGCAATATAATACATACAAATGCGTGTGGGCATCACAAACAAACCATCTGATCTCTGAGGACAGGATTGGGATGTATGATGCATCTGTGTCACTCACAGAGCCTTGAACATAATTGGTGACTCTGAGTGAATAAATACTGAATTCTCTCAATTTACTACCCCTGTCAACAGGGAAAGCGATTTGGGTGTGTGTTGGTGAACATCAGTCTGCAGCCCATCAGTGTCACATGATCCTCTTGGTTCTTCTTGAGGGACCCGGCAGACTGGGGTGTCAGCCAAGGGCCAGCACCCCTAGGGGCTCACAGCTACTCAGACTCTGAGTCTCAGCATGGGGCCTTGCATCTGAGGCATGTATGGAAGTCTAGGAACCAGCATTGACTTCTTCTCCCTCTTCCTCAGTCCCCACCTTCCATATGCCACCAGGTTCTCAGTAAATCAGCTCCCTAAGTCCCTATGCCCACGAGCCCCTCTCCACCCTACTGCCACCATCTTGACCGAGGCTTCAGCATCCTTGCCTCCTCCCTGGTCTCCCCACGTGACTCCCATCCTTTCCTGGGTCTTCCCTCCATACTGCCCCAAGCGGTACTTCTGCATCACAGCTCTGATTAGGCCACAAATGCTCCTTCGCCACTTCTGATGCCTGCTGACTGCCATCAGAAACCTAGACTCCCTAGGAAGGTGCTGGAGGTTCTCTCTTCTCTAACGCTTCTGACCCCCATCCAGAGCTTTGGTGTGACACCGATCACACTGTCCGACGACATTTATTCCCCAGCACCTGGGTCTTCCTCGCAGACAGGGAGTGCCTTCAGGGCGAGAACATGAACTGTCTGTACCTCCAGTGCTTGGCATGCAGTCAGCCTGCAGGGAAAGCATGCTGAACAGACGAGTGCATGAATAGCAACAAATAAACACACTACCACTGCCCTGCCTTCCAGTGTTGCCCTGACACCACCATATTCAGGACCTCATTTTTGGTACCAAGCAACAGGTGAAGTTACTAAAGTGACAGATACACAGTCTGCCTAGACCAAAGGTTGTCCCAGGGCACTTGACATCCCTCTGTCTGTGCTGTAGCTCCCAGAACCCCTGATGGCCTGACGTCAGCAGGGCAGATGCTTGTGCTGGTGTTAGCTACGTGGCCTAGGAACCTGGAGATGGACAGAGGCTTTGGGGTCGTTCCAGAAGGAGGGGAAGGAACCTGAAGGGCATTCCACCTCTAGTCGCTCTGTACCAAGACCTTCCATGTTGTTACCTTCCCCTCTGCCCACCCCACTCACCCCCTCCCCAGATTGTGCCTGCCTTCCTATCTTCTTCTTTTTTTTCTTTCTTTTTTTTTTGACAGGGTCTTGCTCTGTTACCCAGGCTGGAGTGCAATAGCACAATATGACTCACTGCAACCTCTGCCTCCTGGGCTCAAGCCAATCTCCCATCTCAGTCTCCAGAGTAGCTTGGACTATAGGTGCGTGCCACCACCCCTGGCTAATTTTTTTATTTTTGTAGAGATGAGGTCTCACTATGTTGCCCAGGCTGGTCTCAAACTCCTGAGCTCAAGTAATCCACTCACCTTGGCCTCTCAAAATGCTGGGATTACAGGCATGAGCCACTGTGCCTGACAAACCTTCCTATCCTTTTATTCCTCACCAGGGTCACCTCCCTGTTTCCCTGCCAGGCTGCGGCCACCTATTGTGCCTGAAGTAGCTAAACTCATGGACTTATGGGACAGTACGTGTGGTGAGGAGATGGGTGAACAGGACCTGGGATCTGACCACAGCCCTACCATTAACTGGTCATGTGACCAAGAACAAATCACATTTTCCTCTAGGCCTCAGTTTCCCCTCCTGACAAACCGAAAACCTGAACAAGTCTGTCTCTAAGGACCCCTTCTGTTTAACTCCCTGTCAGGAGGTTGATTTCTTTACCAGCCAGAATCATTCTTTCTAATTAAAGGAAACAAACAGAGAGAACGATGTGTCTTTCTCTGCTGCTCCTGGAAGCCAGGACGGCCTCTAACTCTCAGAATATAAGTCAGATCCCCTTTTGATGACTGAAGGAATGCCTCCATTTGGTGGCAGTCTTCATGCCCATATAACCCAGGGATTTCAAGCACACCTGCATATCCATTCTTTTTTTTTTTTTTTTTGATGTTAATAATTGGGTAAGCTAGGCCTTTATCATTCTCATTTTGCAGAGTGAGGCTCCGGGAGGTGAGGCTTATCCAAAGTGCCCCAGCAAGCGTGAGGGAGAAGGGGAACTGGCTCCCAGGATATTATACCACAGCTGGCCCAGGTGGTTGGCCTAAGAGCTGGCCTCACCCAACAGGCAGGTAAGATACTTAAATAAAACAATAGCACACATCTCCCTGTATTTTTACACAAGCTTTCTTCATGCATGCAGAAACACTCTGAGGCATGAGTACCCAAAGCTTCACAGTGAGCTGTTGGGATGCCTAATTCCTAGAAGCCAGGCTCCACCCAGACCCAACATTCCAGAGAACAGGCAATACTGAGAACCATGCTTTGTCCAGGCAGAGAATCCTTGGTTTTGAAGACTCCAGCCCCTGCTGCTATCCCAGGCTTCTAAGCCCTTGAATCGAATCCAGGGCAGCAGAAGCTCTGCCACACAAGACAGGGCAATGCCTCACTCCTCTTGCTCCCCCAGGCCCTGCTGGCTGCAGGGCTCCTTCTCTGAGACTCCCAAGGGAGGACTGACTGCATGTGATCTGACCGCCAAACAGGGAGGGAGAGAAGATGAGGGCCCAGGGCCCTAGAAGAGAAGGAAGTAGGGTTGCAATTCTAGGCCCTTCTTCCAACCTGGCTCTTCTTCTTAATGTTCATGGTCTTCTACTGTTACTTTAAGAACATACTGATCCTGTCTTCCATATTTTACTGGAAACTCCTTAACAGAGTCTCCACAGTAGGTCCTCCAAATGCACTTGCGCAGTGCACAGCCTGCACAACCATTCACAACCTATGGCTTCTGGCCATCCCCTGCATAGCATGTATCACCACTGTAATTAAATAACTAATTGCATCATTACTTATTCTGTCTTCACAGAATATAAATCCTCAGGGGAGCACCAGGCCCTGTTTGTCTTGTTCCCAAGCTGTAGCCCAGCCTCCAGCATAGAATAGGTGCTCAATAAACACATGCTGCGCTAACGAACCCACCCAACCACTCATTCATGCATTCAGTTTGAAGGAGAGTGAACCTGCCCTGCAACTGAAGGTGACAGGCCTCTGTTGTGGTCCCAGCTCTACCAATGTGTGCCCTTGAGCAAGGCATTTCCCCTTTCTAGGTCTGTTTCCTCATCTATATAATAGTGTGGGGTTTACTCTCCATGCCACATTTGCACGACCCCGAGGAAAAGCACTTCCTTAAATTTTGCACCCCGGGCACCTTGCTCACCTCACCCATCATGACCTGACCCTGGTTTTCCACATTTTCCTGGTTTTGTCCAGACCTGGGCTTATGGGAGATGCTCGGTGAAGTAAGGAGAGGGGGGTTTCCAGGCAGCATGCAGGGGACGCCAAGGTTAGGAGAGGAGTTGTTACTCCTGGGCTGTATCTCTGGGAGAGAAAAATAACAGACAGCAGTGCTTCCCCAGGAGAGCAGTGTCTTCAGAGGGCTTCTTCATCAGCCTTGTTTACCTGGAAGGAAGGAGGGAAGGGTTGGCTCAAGATCCAAGTTACCAAGTGCCAGGGCCAGGGGCAAACCCCAGGCACCCTGTGTTCAGATCCAGACCCTTTGGCATGCGGGCACAGCCTGGTTCCCATGAGTGTGGGGCACAACCAGTTTCAGCTGGCAGAGGCACACACAGTGGCAGAGGAAGGAGATGTTCCTTGGGGCAGATGGGACGGGAGCCTTGAGAAACAGGAGGGCTTACGGAGGAGGATGGGGTGGCATTCCTGGCAGAAGAGACGATGTCTGCATGGTGTGCCTGCAGGAGACCATGTTTCAAGGGTCTATGGCCACTTTCTTACTTGCAGAGTGGTCTGGCCAATGGGGACCCATGAGAGTGAGGCACAAGGCAAAGCTTAGATGGAGATAAAACAGAAGAGCACAACTACAGAGTCCTCTGCCTCCAGGGCATTCCAAGGACCTCTCCCCATCATGGCCTCAGCCTCCCTGTTGTACTGCATGCATTAGTTTTGTAAGGCTGCTGTAACAAATCATCACCAATTTAAGCCAAACTGAATGGCTTAAAACAACACAAACTTATTATCTGAGAGGTCTGGAGGTCAGACATCCAAAATGGGTCTCACTGGACTAAAATCCAGGTGTTGACAGGGCTGCATTTCTTTCCGGAGGCTCCAGGGAAGAATCTGTTTCCTCCTTTTCCAGCTTCTAGAAGCTACCCTCCCTCTTTGGCTTGTGGCCTCCTCAAAGACATCAATGGCCAGGTCACGTCTTTCTCACAATGCATCCCCCTGGCACTGACCCTTCTGTCTCTGTTCACCACACTTAAAGGCCCTTGGGATTCCACTGGGACCTTGTGGGTAGTCCAGGACAATCACCCTATTCTAAAGCCAGCTGATTTGCAACCTTAATTCCATCTGCTACCTTCCCTCCCCTTTGCCCTGGAACCCACCATACTCCTAGACTTCGAGAATTAGGATGCACACACCTTTGAGCGGGGCATTATTCTGCCTTTCACACTGTGTGAGACACATCTCCTCCAAATGGGGTTTTGGGAGGAAGCGGCCCAGGATGAGAGAGATGGGGTGGGTGGGGCGGGCAGGAGAGGGAGGCACGCAGACACACACTCAGCCTCCTGGCTGCCTGCTTAGCACACATCACCCTTGAACACTTCGTCATGTTTCCACACTGAACCAGGCATAGGCTGTTTCCACAGTGACTGCAAGAGCAGGAGCAAAGCCAGAAATAACCCCACTGACATGGAAAACTTCCCCTTCCCATGGTACTTTGCTCTCTCCTTCTCCACTCCCCCCATCATATTATGGGAGGTTCCAGTGGGTTCTAAGTTGGAGGCTGAGGCCTTGGGGAACACTCCTCCTGCAGCCTGGCTCCAGCAGGGGGAACACAGGGATCTGACTGAGGGGCCTGGCCTAGTAACCTCATTTCCACACCACTATGGTGAGCTTGGAGTCTCCTTCTCTCCTCAGCCTCACTGCCTCTGAGCCACAAGTCCCTACCAAGTCCCAACCGCTCCTTCTTGGATCTCTTGCCACCAAACATTGGGATCTACACTCTTGGTCTCTTGGGCCAGAAGCCCATGGGATGTTCTGATCTGGTCCCCTTGTTGGGCCTCTGGGAGGCCGCTGCCTGGTGTGGCCCTGCCTGGTGGGCCTGGGACCCACTCTCACAAGCCCTGCCAGCCCCCAGCCCAGTCCTTGCTCCTGGTGAGCCCTGGCAACCTGCTCTGCCTCCCTGCACCAGGAGCCCTATCTGGGAAGCTGGGCTCAAACTCTACCTTCTCCAAAAGCCCCTCTTTCTACAGGTTTTTTCCTTAGAACAAGATCTCACCCACTGCAGGGGCTTAAACATTTGCTGAAATATAGAGACCAATGAATGCCCGGGCCTCACCATCCATACCACTCACTCATATGGCATTGTGTCTTTATGGCCCTGGGAAATGTCCTCCACAACTGTTTAATTTCTCATGTCTTTCATCCCAGTCCAACAAAGGAAAATGAAGTTAATGCACCTCCTACATGCTGGGCACAGCATTAAACGAGCATGCATTGGCGCATTTCATCCCTCACCTCCACTCAACCATCATCACCGCCGTCTTACAGAGAAGCAACTGACTTGCCCAAGGTCACACAGCTAGAAGGTGGCAGGGCCCAGACTGGACCTCTGTATGCCAGACTCCAAAGTCTGAGGCTGCAGCCACCATGTCCCACTCGGGGGGCCAGGGGAGGAGACACAGAGATGATCAATGGCAAATGCTAAATGAAATGTGTCCAATTTGCCTCCTAGAAAACCCTGAGCAGCTCAAGGTGTCTCCAATTTTTGTCTCGTTGTATGTACTGGGATTTGGCCTAAGATTTTATTTGGGTTTTCACAAAGTTGGGAGGATATGGAGGGGGGTTACATGAATTTAAAAGTTTGGAGGTCATGGACTGTAGGCCAACCCCATCCTTGTACCAATGACAAGACCAAGGCATGGAAGTGGAAGTGACTTGCCCAAAGTCATGGCCTCTGCCACCGAAGCCGGTGAACTCTACTTGTTTCTCCCACCCAATCTTTGATGTAAAGGCCATCGTATGCTCCATTTAGCCCTTGGCACTGCTTGGCACAGAATTTGGAGTCCAATGTGGTATGGGTCCTGGATTCTGCTTTGACAGTGCTGCACACTTGATGGCTTGGTAGCTCAAATGCTCAGAGCCTCTGAGTCTTTGTCTGCACAGCAGAGCAGATGTGGATTTATTTGAGAAGGCACAGACCTGCTTTGGATCATGTAACATTAGGATCATGGGTAACAGACCTGGGCCCTGAGCCGCTGCTACGGGAAGATGGAAAGAGCTCTATATTTAGACTCAAAAGCCTCGAGTAGAGTCCCAGTTCTGATGCTCATCACTTTGCGGCCTGAGCCTCCCCCTTGACTTCACTGAGTCTTACTCTGGGAGATAAAAATGTCTCCCATAAGGGGTTGGGATGAATTGAAATGAGGTAACACGTGTGGAAACGCCGAAGGCGTAGGAATCCTCTGGGTTGCAGAATCCCAGGCTCCACCTTCTCCCACTGTCTGATTCTAGAGTTGCGGGGCAGGGCCCAGGAATCTGTATTTCCCCAATCTCCTCATTCCCCACCATAATTCTGTTGCAGTTAGTCAACAGGTCACACTGCAAGAAATCCCTCTAAAAAGTGCTCAATATGTGTTTGTTAAATACACGAATCCTTGAACATCTGTTGAGCTGCATATGGCTGCTGGGAGACATGCGCTGAAGGAAATAAGTAATTTTCCCCAAATACATTTCCTATGAATTCCAAATGATGGGAATTGGGTTGGGGCTTCTAAGACTAGGAGACGATGTGATAATAGCTTCCTTCTCCAAAGAGCTCCTCCCGTTAGATGGGGAGAGACCTGGCTGGAGGGTCACGCACAGTGGCTCAGGATCAAATGCGGGGAGGGATGCTCTGGAGACGGAGTCCCCTGGGGATGAGTTCCAGACCCTGTTCTCTTCAGCATCTTCATGAAGACAGGAAAGAAATAACTGAAAATATGCTCATTAAATCTGCATCTGGCACCCAATTTGGCAGGGTTGCCAAAATTCTGTAAGACTAGAATTAAATTAGCAAATTGCAAGTAAAATGGTTTTAAGCAGGCATGATGGAATTCATCAGGGCCAGGTGGAAGCTCATGGGGGAAGGGAGTCAGGAAAGCCCACATCCCCGGGGGTGGGAAAGCCTGGCCGGGAACGGAAACGGAAAAGAAACAAACAGAAATGACCCAAATCCTTAAGATTCACCCTTGGAAAGTGGTGGTAACAAAGGCAGCCCCACACTGCAAGGTGGCCAGAGGCTCCTTCTGGGAGCCAGGAGGTGTGGCTGGGCAGCACCCGGTTAAGGATGGCAGCTCTTCAAAAGAAGGTCAAGAAGAAAGAACCCGAGAGACTGCCAGGGAATGGGAGGGGTGGGTGCTTTAGACTGGCGGCCCTACAAGGGCAGACACGTGGACGGTGACGTGTGTTGACGCTGCTGAAGCACCACTGCGTGCTTACTGATCTCACAGTCAGGGAAAAACATTGGGATGGGCATGGCGGGGGCAGGGGAGGTACAGACTCTGAGGAAGGAAGAAGAGGCTAGAAGCATTTCCTGGGCACTTGCTAAGTGTTAGGCACTGTGTTAAATATTTGTCAAGTATTATGATCTCATGTAATCATCATAACAATCCTGTAATGTAAAGATTTTTCTTTTCTCTTTATTTTCTTGTGCTTTCTTTTTTGTTTTCTGTGTTTATTTTTTTTTCTTAAATAAAGAGATATTTAAAGTAAGAAGTAGACAAGTCCTGCGTCATCCTCGGAAAGCCTATTCCCCAGATGAAACCACCAGGCATAGTTCACTGGGCATGTTCCCAGGCTGTTTCCCTGAGCGCAGAAACACTGCTACATGTGCACACACAGACTTAACTGTTTAACTTTTTCTGTGTAAAAATGAGATTGTCCTAAACATATTATACAGAAACCTTTTTCCAGTTAAGAATACATTCTTAATATCCTCCCACATTAGGACCTGAAGGATCATGTCTTTCTTTTGAAATGGCCACAAAGTATTCTCTGGCACAAGTGTACCATAAACCTTTTAAGCATTGTCTCTGCTGGACACTGAAGTCATTTCCAATTTCTCTCTTCTATAAACAATGCTACAAGGGAGTACCTTTGTACACATATATCTTTGAGTACATATTTTTCTATAGCCAGGGAATTGCTGGACCAAAGTAGGCACAGTCAGCCCTCTCTATCTGTGGGTTCCATATCCATGGATTCAACCAATCAAGGATCAAAAATAATTGGAACAAAAATTCCAGCTGGGTGCAGTAGCTCATACTTGTAATCCCAGCACTTTGGGAGGCCAAGGCAGGTGGATCACTTGAGTTTAGGAGTTCGAGACCAGCCTGGCCAACACAGTGAAGCACCGTCTCTACTAAAAATACAGGAAATTAGCTGGGCATGGTCACGCACGC